AAAAAGTAGCCCATAACGTCATTGTATCTATTTGCTCCAGGATTCGAGCTCGTGACATATTCACTAACAGTTTTAAGTGTGTACCATGCGTCCACTTGGGCTTGTAATTAAGCCTCGCTACTTTTAAGTTTTAACTTTTAAGTCTCAACCTTTCCATTTGTGCTTTTTTGTTTCTGGTTTGGCAAGGCCGAGTAAGGGCCCATCATCTGGGAGTAACAAGGATCCTTTCTCAGCTCTCAAGTTGTGGTTGGAGGAGAGTGATGTCATCGAAGGATCGATGCTGGATGCTCACGTTGAAAGAGTCTTCACTGAAGCTGGTATTGATGAAGATGTAATAAAGAGATATCTACCCAGTGGTGGGAGGCATTATGATGGCCATAATCATGACAAAAGGAGGCGGAGATTGAGGGAGGAAGACATGAGAAAAACAGTCATGGATGGCGGAAGCGATGACTCTGATCTGCACCAGGAGAAGAGACCAAGATTGGGGGAAAAGGAGCAGAGCTGTGCACAAGCTGCAGAAGCCACACAGGAGTACCAGATGATTCCACGTGCCAGCGGAGTCGCGTCTGATAAGCTCGTGGTTGAACGAGCAACCACCGAAGATCCTTGCGATGACTGTGACCGTGCAATCGCAAGACTACCACCTCAACACGTGAACATCCTTGGCGACTCAGTAGCCGCCGACGATAGCAGATTGAAATCTCCGTATCCAGATGGATCTGGCAGACCGAATGATCGCCATACTTCAAGTTGCAACGCCATTAAAGACGCTTGTGATGACTGTGATGGTGTGAATGGGAGACTTCCACCTGAACAGAAGAACATCCATGACAACTTGCTGGTCGCTGAAGATAGCAGCGTGAAGTCTTCATCTCCACATGAATCCGGGAGACTGAGCGGTAATCATGCTTGCGATCGGGATGCAGAAGCAACTGATGGCGGCCATTTGTGTGTTGTCGATACAGCCATCTCCACTCCATCTCCAGTGCCGGACTCAAGTGACAAAAAAATAGCAAAGAAGGAATGTCACAGCCCCAGTGAATCGCAACATGCAGTGCCGGGGTTGGGAAAATCCGATTTGCGACTTCAGAATCCCGATACGGAGGTTGACGAGGCAGAAGCTGATAATTTGGAGGATGATACAGCGGCTGTAAGCAGCAGCAGCAGTAGGAGTCTTTCCTTGGCGATGACCGGAACAGCTTCCCCAGGTCAGTGCAACAAACTGTCGTCCACTCGAAGCGGAGAAGGTGGCACCAATTCCGATGACGACGGAGGTGCAGCCTTCGCGCGGGATAACGGTGGTCCCCCCAGTCTTGACAAGCCAAGTTCACCGGCATCAGCTTGTGGGAGAGAATGCACAGAAAACGAGACTGATAAGATGGACGTGGAGGATGATTATGCAGCATCCAAGTCTTGTGCCGAGAGAGCAGAATTAACGAAACAACAGGAGTGTGATGATCACGACGGGCAAGTTCGAAAGACATGCGGTCAAGAGCACTTCCATCATCATGATGGAGAAGAAAAGGTGGAGGTAGCAACGTTCGATATGGACTTCTCTGTAACTGCCTCTGCAGGCGATTGTACAGAGGCACAATGTGTCCACAGTGACTGCGATGACGAGCAAGCGCAAAGAGGACTGGAGCATACCAAGGGCCATAAGGGAGAAATAGGGGTGGGGGAAGACATGCAGTTTGAAGGCTCAGCAACCGAGTCCCTCCTCGATGCAGCCGCTGAGTCGGAACAACAGCACGGTGTGCCAGATCAAGCAGCAGGATGTGACCTAGAGGGGAACAATCAGGGAGACACGGAGATGGTGGAAGCTCTCGATGAGTCAGGAGCAGAGCTGGAAGCTGGGCAGCCTCTGGAACCCCGTTATGAAAGGCAGGTTCTGAGTCAGGAAAGCACGCAAAGTTTAGGTCCGAAAGCCCTGAAAGACTCGGTAATTTCAGTTTCGCCGGCGTGCATGGAAGGCAGACAACAAGAAACTACCACTCGCTCATTCGCAGTTGTGGATGCTGACGACGGGTGCAGAAACGTAGTACCGACAGCCGTGAATGATGTAGACTCTGCCACAGACGCGGGAGGCAGCCAGGAAGCCATTGCTCATTCAGTCGCAGCTGTGGATGTTGACGTAGGGTACGGACAAGAAGGACCAGGCTTGATTGCACATGAGAGTGACAGTAATGAACAGACTCCAAGTGCAGCAACTGGCAATGAGTTGAATTTGAATGAACAGATCCCAGGTGTAGCAATTGACAATTGCCAGGTCCCATGTGCAGTATATGACAAAAATAAACAGACTGCAGGTGCAGCAATTGGTACTGTAGTAACTGTACAAAATCCAGGTGCAGTAATTGATGATGAAGTATTGGGACAGCAAGGCAAGCAGTCGACGTCGACAGCTACAGAAGAAAGCTATGCTCAGGAACAGGAACTACTCATTAATGAGGGGAATAAGAATGGAGATGCAGTCTGTGTACAGATATCTGCTTCTGGTGTTTCCAATGACTTCCACCAGAGTGCAGCTTCTTCATCAGCCTCTACTGTTTTAGCAGTTGGTGGGAGAGGGAGTGCTTCGGCAATGGAGATTGGGGGATCGGGTGATGGATCTGATGATAAGAATCCAGTCAGAAGTGGGAACTCAAAGAGGAGAATTGTTACTCCCGCCCGTTTCAACATGTGCAGCCCGAAAGAGCAAAGGCAGATGTTTTCCACAGACGATCGATCTTGTGATGAGAGGCGTGAGGAGCATGGAGGCAATGTACTCTCACCGGCACCGTCAGGAGGTGAGCCTACTGTTTTAGCAGTTGGTGGGAGAGGGAGTGCTTCGGCAACGGAGATTGGGGAATCGGGTGATGGATCTGATGATAAGTACCCAGTCAGAAGTGGGAACTCAAAGAGGAGAATTGTTACTCCCGCCTGTTTGAACATGCGCAACCCGAAACAGCAAAGGCGGATGCTTTCCACAGATGATCGATCTTGTGATGAGAGGCGTGAGGAGCATGGAGGCAATGTACTCTCACCGGCACCGTCAGGAGGTGAGCCTTTTGTTAATCAGAAAATATGCTGCGTGTGCATTGTGATCGAAAATGACATCTGAGGTCACCAAGACAGCCACGGGCACAAAACAAACAAACAAATAAACACAGAAAGGGATGTACATCGGTATGTACCCGTTCAGGTTCCTGTAACGACAAAATAGCAATCACTGATGCTCCTCAGAATGGATGTGGAGCCATGCAAAACAGGAACAAGTTACAGAGTAATGCTCACGACCTTACATCTAAGAGCTGCACTGTTGTCAGTACATTCTGAAGTGATGAGCAACACAATTCTGCCAAGCCCGTAGAGACCAGTGACCATCCTGCTCGACTCCTTTCAGCCCAGCATAACGAAAAGGTTAAAGAAACGCAGATGGTGATCGTCCTCGCTGCATGGCGAAGCATTTGGCAAATTGATGACCATCATCGCCGGGCATTCTTAACTTCCACCATCATTCTCTCATACAGTTTTCCTCTATGAGCTGCCCGGTAAACCGTAGGCCGAGAGGGAGAAGAGGACAACAAATGAGGGGCTGTGACAAACTGTTGCATTGGAGTTTTATAGATCGTCAAACATATATTAATAATATTATGATATATATATCATAATATATGTTTAACAGTTTAACGATATATATGCGAGGATTTGGCTCCTCGGCAGGCCTAAGGGGCCCCGTTTTACAAATGTGCCCGCCCTAAGTGAAGGCGGGCCTGACAAATCACGAGAGGCCCATTGCTTTCAATTTCGTATTTGGGGTTCAGGCAGTTGTGTTGCGTCAGTTGGTTGAGGGAACCCAGGCCGCGAGCAGCAAAACTTTCCTCGGCCTTCTAGTCCTTTTCTTAAAGCAGGCCCTGGTCCACATCTGCAGCAGTATACACCACGGGCAGTTGGGAGGCTTAACCAAACGGGGCCCAGGGCTTCAACAGCAGCAGCGCAGGCTCAGCCACCCGGGGCCTACCAGAAGCTTCTGGGCGCAGGGCCAGCCCAGCCAGGCCGCAGACCAGGCCGAGCTCTTTCCATATAGGAAAGTGCTCGCAGCCTGGACATTCATTCGGGCACTTGCAAGTCATGCGGCAGCGCTGCTTGAGTGTGCTCTCGCATGCTGTGCGCTGCGCTGTGCCAGTAGCCCGCGCACATACGGTCGTGTAGAAGGAAGGGCGCTGCTGAGGGCAGCGCCATAGCTGGCTGGGGCTTGGTAGTACAGCAGCAAGGCGTAGTGGTGGTCTTTGTGCATGAGAAAGGAGACGTGGGTGGAAGACAAGGAGGGAGAGAAAGTGGGACAGAGATGAAGAGGATGACGTGAGGGCACATATCTGGTTATGGCGATGATCTGCATTGGGCGACATGTTCATGTACTTCGGTGGCTGCTGACGTCAACAGTTGCATTGTCAATTTGTAGGCAGGAAGTAGCTGTGTGGGAGTAGTCTGGGCGCCGAGCGTTAAAGAAATTACGTAGGCAGGAAAACTTGGGGAAACTTGTAGGCAGGAAAACTTGGGGCGTCTTCATCTCCTGTGGTCATTCAACTTCATTGCAATTTTCCTGCTTAAATTTTTGCTGCAGTTAAAGAAAAAAAGTATTATTAGTACTTATGTGGAATTATGAAATTATGTTTACCGTCGGTGACCTCTTGAGTCTTGAGTCAGACTCTTGACTTAATATGCTTCATTTTTGTTTGTTTTTCTTTTTGTTGCAGAGACTTCTGGCTTTGTGACACCCAAGAGCACCCACAGAGCCCGACAAGTCTCATCTCGTAGCAGTAGTGCAAAGCCACCGACCGTCATGGAAGATCCTGTTTCTGTACAGATGTGGATGAAGGCTTATCTTGTCCATAAGGACGGTGGCGATTCAGAGTGGAGAATTATATTCTCTCTCCACAATAACAGCCAGCACAAAGTTGTGGTCGAGAGCCTCACGTATTGGCAAACGGATGAGCAGATTCCGCCTAATGATTTTGTTTATTCCACACCATCAAGTTCGACCTCACACCCTCGCGCTTCTGGGGGCGGTGACCTGGAGAAAGAAAGAAGCGTCTATATTGCCAACCGATTGCAGCCAACGACAATCAGCTGGCCAGCGGGAGATCAAGTTATGAAAGAGAGTGGCTTCGTGTTCCACGCAGTGATGATGCCATGCACCCCCGGAGTGTATGATTCACCCAGAATGGGGTTCAGCTGGAAATACAGGTAAGAAAAGCCACTCTCTCCTCTTTCCCCTCCCCCTCCCTTATCCACTCTACCCTTCCTATAGAATGCTGTTCGTAGGCAACAAACGTTTGTCCTTTCTTTCCGCTTGCTCCGTTTTGCATGTGCAATGTGCATCTCAATCATGCAATGGTATTGAGCAATCAGCATTCTTTTTGTTCGTTTTTCGTTTTTCGGTAGGCCTTAACGGGGCCTAACCTGATTGTGACCATCTGATTTCAGCAAGATTCGAGCTCATGACCTGTTTGCCCACCACCGTTAGATGTGTGTACCGTTCCAGCCACATGGGCTGGGTGAGCAATCAGCATTCTCGTTCCTTCGCTTCGATCCCCTTTTCATGGATACGTGTTTGATGATGTCAAAGACCTTATGAATGAATGCTAAGGTGCCTATCTTCCAGCTAGTGTATACCGATGACTTCTTTGAGGAAAAAGAATACAACCGGAAGCCCACCTTTTGAAGAGAATGAACCTTTTTTGTTGGAGTCAACTACGTGGCGAACGAAAGTCAGTTCCCTTTTTCATGCAAACGTGTTTCATGATGTGAAAGACCTTATGAATGAATGCTAAGGTGCCTATCTTCCAGCTAGTGAATACCGATGGCTTCTTTGAGGAGAAAGAGTATAACCTGAAGCCCACCTTTTGAGGAGAAGGAATTTTTTTTGTTGGAGTCAACTACGCGGCGAACGAAAGTCAGTTCCGAATAAGCAAAAAAAAAAAACAAGTACCAGAGGGTCGCTCATGCCCGAAGTCTGAGAATGCAACAAAAGTCGTGCGACACTTTCTAATAAGTGTGAATGTTGTACCTACAGGAAAAAAAAAAAAAAAAAAAAAAGAGCAGTCCTCGGTGTGCACTGTGCAGGGCCTGAGTTTAAAAACGGCCAAAAAAATTTGCAGCTATTTTTGCTTATTCCAAACTGGCGCCGCGACAAAACTACGTTTAGTGATGTTTTTGTTTTCACAAAACTCAAACCATGACTCAGACGTAGTTGTTTCATTTTTTCTTTGTGTGGCACCTTATGAGGTGAAAGGACTTGGCAATGTTTTTTATATGGCCCTATGGACCACGGATCAGATATTAAAGTGATCAGAACAAATACTACACCTCATCTTAGCCGAAGGCAGTAGAAATAACATAACCTGAAATGCGCAGATCCGTGGGCTGGTTTCCTTAATGTCTTGGCACATACGAGTTTCAAGTTTCAACGACTGTGTACAAGGTGCACAAGGGAAGATGTTGTCTCTTGTAGCTGCTGTTTGATGTTGTGGTTGGGTTAAGAAGTTAAGAACTTAACACCAACACGAAGTTAATGCGAACATGAAGAAAGACACAAGCACAATGCAGTGCAAGGCTTAGCCTGAAAACCAACCAATCTGACTCATGTGACTCGGACACGTACAACGCACTCCACACCATCACTTGAAGCAGCCCGGAAGGGAAACATACATAAGCAAAGTCCCTCCTGGTAGATCAGGGACATGGGGCGATAGCCACAGATGGTGAGAGGAGAGAAGACTGGGATAAATGTGAGGGGAAAGGAGAGAATAATCTGAAGAACACAATCGTCGCACAGATAATCATCAGATTCTCCTCCATCCCCCAATGATTCCCAAATACAATGTCGAGTTTGAACCTGGGAAGAGTCTCACTGAAAGTTTCCAAGCCTCTCATCTCTCTGAAACCAAGAAGGCGGCGGATACGGAGGGGCAGAAGAGAAAAGAAGAAGAAGTCTCTCTCTCTCTCTCTCTCTCTCTCTCTCTCTCTCTCTCTCTGTATATATATATATATATATATATTTCTATTTGACGATATATATATATATATATATATATATATATATATATATATATATATATATTTGACGATACAGCGGCGTGTCTGGAGTGTATTTTTTGGCTGTGACAGACCTTTCTTTGTTTCGTGG